GAAGCTGAAAGGACAAAAAGGAGACAATGGAAGCAAAGAGCAATGAGGCTGCTCAAGGAGGCTGGAAGAAGCAGGACCCCCACTGTATACTGGAAGAACAATTAACAAAACTGTCACATGAAGTAAATCAGAATATTAAAAATATACCTAATGGACCTGTAGTTCTGACTAAGGACATTTCCACATGGAATATCCTGGAAATAGTGGTTACATTACAATCAAACATTAGAAGGTACAAGGAGAAAATTAAGCTGAAAAATGAACTGTTTAACTTATAAGCAGAATTTAAGATAAATACATTTTTTAAAAATTTTTTTAGTTGTAGATGGACACAATACATTTATTTATTTTTATGTGCTGCTGACGATAGATTAGTACCTCACACATGCAAAGCACACCCTCCACCACTGCCACAACCCCAACCCCAAGAAAAATACATCTTTTAAAATTTTATTTATTCTTTTTAGGAAGGTATTTTATAGTTTTTTCCCCATATTTTTATTGATGCATTATGGCTGTACATAAAGGTGAGATTCATTGTTATGTATCTACACACATACATGCACACAATATAACAATATAATTTAGCCAATATCATTCCCTAGTAGTTTCCCCTGGTCCCTTCTCTAGACTTTACTGATCTCCCCTCAGTTTTCATGAGATTCCCCCCAACCTTCATTTTCCCTTTTTCTCTCCAGCTTTCACATGACAGAAATCATTCAACTACTAACATTCAACTACTAACTGAGTTTGGCTTACTTTGCATAACATAATATTCTCAAGTTCCATCCATTTTCCTTCAAATTTCATTCTTTTACAGCTCAATTAAACTCCATTGTGTATTAATACCACATTTTCTTTAACCATTCATCCACTGACAGACTAGTTTGACTATTGTAAATTTTGCTGTTACAGACATCTGTATGGATGTATCACTTTAGTATGATGATTTTAAATCTTTAGGATAAATACAGAGGTATATAGTCATGCAGTGATTCCATTCCTAGTCTTCTGAGGAAATTCCATATGGATTTCCAGAGTGGTTGTACTAATTTACAATCTCACCAACGGTGTAAAAGTGTTTCTTTATCTACACATCCTCTCCAGCATTTATTATTCTTTATATTCTTGATGGCTGCCATGTAACTGGAATGAGATGAAATCTCAGTGTAGTTTTGATTGGCATTTCCCTAATTGCTAACATTTTTCCATATATTTGTTGGCCATTGTATTTCTTCTTTTGATAGATATCTGTTTAGTCCACTTGCCCATATATTAATTGGGCTATATGTTTTTTTGGTGTTAAGTTTCTTTTGAGTTTTTTATATATTATAGATATTAAGCCTTTGTTTATAGCTAGCAAAGATTTTTCTCCCATTCTGTAGGTTCACTCTTCATATTCCTAATTGTTTTCTTTGATGTGCAGAAGCTTTTTAATTTGATGTCATCCCATTTGTTAACTCCTCACATTATTTCCTGAGCTTTAGGGCTTCTGAAGAGAAAGTCATTGCCTATTCCCAATGTTGGGAGTTGACCTTATATTTCTTCTATGAGTTGTATAATTTCTGTCTGATTCCTAGATCTTTGATCCATTTTAAGTTGATTTTGTACAGGGTAAAAAGTATAAAGATTTAGTCTCATTCTTCTACATACGAATAACCAGTTTTTCTAGCATCATGTGTTTAAGGGGCTGTTTTTTCTCCAAAATACTTTTTTGGCACTTTTGTCAAGGTTCAAATGACTGTATCTGTGTGTATTTGTCTCTGTATCTTCTACTCTGAACCACTGGTCTGTGTGTCGCTTTATGCCAATGCCATGCAATTTTTGTTACTATAGTAATTCTGTAGTATAATTTGAAGTCAGTCAGGTATTGTGATGCCTCTAGCAGTATTTTTTTTTTTTTTTGGTGGTGGTGGGGGGGGGGGCTTAAAGAAAAATACTTCTAACCAAGAATAACAGGGTTGAAAAAATAACTTTCTCATGACTAGTCTCTTAGTCAGCAAAAGACCATCAAAGAAGGAAGTTTGAGCTCAAAGATCAAATCTAGAGCACTGCCAATAAACATGGCAAGATCATCAAAAAGAAGGCATCTTTAAGCTTCTCTGTTAAGCCCTCAGAAAGATTTAAGGCAGTGGTAAAACACCTTATCAGGAAAACAAAAGGGTTTCTAAAGATATTTTCAGGAATCTTAGCATAGTGGCACCAGCCTATAATCCCAGCTACCAGACAGGCTGAGGCAGGAGGATTCAGTGGTAGAGCATATGCCTAGCATGCACCAAGCCTGGGTTCAATCTCCAGTACTGCAAAAAGAGAGAAAAACAAATTTATAGAATTCTAACTTAGAATCCCAAGTAGAGAGAGTCCAGTTTCATAAAGAATTCTGGATAAGAACTTTGTCTAATGGAGTATATTTATAATCTGGTATATACCCATAGTATGTAAGGAAATTTATCAGAACTAGAAGAAACACTGCTCTAAATGAAATAAACCTCTAGACTTTCAAACTGGTACATACATGAACCAGACTGAGACCACTTCTCAGGTGCAAACAAGGCCAATTTCTTAAGGAAAATAAAATGACTCGGAATAAAACCAATAGCCCAAAGAACCCCAGTCAAAAGATGAGAAAAATAATGAATTATTAAACCAATAACAGAAGATAGAACCAAGATATAGTCATGGGATAGTCTTTGTTCCCTGGTTAGAGTTCAGAATTATTTTGTCCCGCAGACTAGTATATGATCCTTCCTGATTTCTATTCTTTCATCCTCCAATAAGAATTATCTATTTGTGGTCAACTATGCCTCTCTTAAAATCATAGCATACTGAGTATATGGTAGGGGTGGGGTATGGGGTTGAAGGGAAGGAGGAGTAACTTGTCTTCTTAGTTTACAGTCTCCAAATTAAGAGGAGCAACTCCAAAGCCTCACTCATATACTACCCTGATGCCACCTGGAGAACAAATGAGGAATATTATCAGAAAGTCAACACCATGGCCCCAGACATATGAGTGAGGCCATCTTGGACCCTATTACCCATCTAAGTCACCTTGGTCAAAATCTTGCAGACCAGAGCATAGTGTAACCTGCCCAAATTCCTGACCCAAATATTATAAACAATAAGACAGCTATAATTTTAAGCCACTACATTTTGGAATAATTTGTCAGTCAGTAACAGATAACTGACACAGGTAGTGAATACAAATGTTTACTAGATAGTATCTAAAAGGAGCATTAATGCCAGGTATAGGGACCACACCTGCAATCCCAGGGATTTGGAAGGCTGAGGACGAGGATTGCAAGTTCAAGGTCAGTCTCAGCAATTTAACCAGTCCATCTCAAAATAAAAGGGTTGGAGATAATAGCTCGGTGATAAAGCATTCCTGGGTTCAATACTGGGTACCACAAGAAAATAACAATGATTTTTAAAAATAAAGGTAGCATTAGAGATTCTAATGTAACACAGGACTAGTTTATTTCATACTATTTACAAGAGAGGAAAGTATAAAGAAGAAATATGAATGTTGGTTTCAAGTTTCTATTTTCCTAAATTTCATTTCCTATTTTGTTTTTTAAATAATAACAAAAATGCTATTTTGTTAAAATCTCCTTTAGGGTACTGTCAGTTTATTGGTTGTACTACTGAAATCCATTTAGAGAAAAATGTGGGTTTTTTTTCATGATAAAATATAGAAATATTTCAGCAAATGAAATTTTTCTGTCTTTGTTGAAGAATGAGAAGCTGTGATTATATCAACAATCCAAGAAAGAAGAAATATATATGGTTTCACAATTTCTGAGAAGTTAGAATACATTATAAGACAATTTAAAATTATAATTTAATATTACACTGGTTTTTGGAAACGTCAGCTTAATATAATTACTCAAGATTATCATTTGTGAAAAGACTAACAGAAGTAAATAATACTTTGAATATAAAAACCCAAAAAGACTATAATAATAGACTAAAACCAACAAGAAACAAATTAAATAAAAGTGAAAACTTATACACGATTAGGATTAAAAAGATACCATACAAAATTCTGATGGAGAAAACAATCCATCCTAATAGTATGAAAAAGCCTTAATTTTAGCTGATCATAAGCACATTAGCCAATAGTAAGTAAGCCACATCAGCATAAAAACTGTTAATGTAATTTTAGATTTCATTAATCTATATACCTAATCAATATGTACTAGCAATCTACTATGAACCATATACTTTACTAAGAAGAATACAGTGAACAGATCCAAAGATGGAATAATCTCATTATATTTGTAACTAGTCAAACTACATATGAAATATGTTAAGAAAGTAATAAATATGACCTATAAATGAGAAGAGTTTCTAATTTAAATGCCACAGTAAAAGAAAAAAGAAATTTCTTAACATTTTTTTCATTATACCGAAATAAATTAATGACTATGTCTGTTAGGCAAAGTGGTAGGCACTGTAGTATACAGTGGAGAGGAAAACAGATATTGTCCCTATCATCACTGTGCTTATGGTCTAACTAGTACCACATCACAGGAAGATCTTTAGTAGGAATAAAATAATGATCTGTAAAGTATATTATAAAAGATTCATATACTGAAATAAATGCCTTCCAAAGTTATTTCCAAATCTAAAATATAATGATTAATTATAGTACTGTACCACAAAAGAATATAATTATTATTCTAAGATATAGAAATGTCTAAAGAATACCAGGCAAACCAAGATACACACACAACAAGCCACACTTACAGGGTTTGTTTTTTTTTTAACCTTTCTACCTAAAAAAAAACAACCACATCAATTTATATGTTTAGCCTTCATAGGCAAACTACTTAAAATCAATGTCAATCCACATTAAGAAAATGCAACCTCAAATTTTATTTCATCTCAAATAACAAAATGTTAATGTCCTTACTCTAATAATTATCATACCCTAGTTAAGATAATTCCAAAGAAATTAACACCTATGATTTCTCTAGGATTTCTTATATTAATCAATATACCTTTCCATGGCTTTAGCTGTATAAGGCAAATGCATTTCAATACTGTGTTCATCTTCATCTGTCTGTAGAGTCATGCGTTCAAACATTCCTGTCTTCCATAGCTCTCCGTAAACTAGATTTCAAAATATATTAAAACAAATATATTAATGTATGTCTGTATCCTGTGAGATTCCAACCACTCACACAAAGCTACATGCTTTGGCAAGAGGCAAAAGCACCACATAGTACTCTCCATTTTTAGTTTGAGAGGCAGGGCGGGAGAGAGAAAGAAGAGAGAGAACAACTAATGCTCATGTGCTAGCTAAAATAATAATACACGAAAAACTTATCATATTTATATGTCATGGTCATGTAAAAAATAATAATTTAAAACTTTCATCAGTTCATCATTTCTAATATCACCTGGATCTAGACTATTCATTGATTTTAATCAGGACATATTAGCAAGAACAGTTAAATGCAATTCCTACTGTAATAGACAAAAATCACTGATCTATTTACAATTAAGGTTAACAATATAGTTTTTGAGTTTTGCTTTGTTTTTTTAATAAAATACATGGTATTGTTAGTTTACATTCCAGGTTTCCCTCATTCTACAATCAGAAAATTCCTACTAGGAATGCTGTTTTTCTCAAAATTCAAAATTAAGCTTGTGGCAGAGATCAAAAGACAAATTCGTCACAGCACCATGCTAACTTAAAATGACCTAGTAATTCAGACCTAGTAATTCCCATGAACTGTGCTTAAAACTGGATACTATAGAACAAGAAAAAGATAAAATTTTGATGATATAATAATATTTTAGGGCTGGGGTTGTGGCTCAGCGCTTGCCTAGCATGCGCAAGGCCCTGGGTTCGCTCCTCAACACCACATAAAAATAAACAAACAAAATAAAGGTATTCTGCCTAACCAAAAATAAATAAATTTTTTTAAAAAAAGAATATTCTAACTAGATCCTTAAATGGGTTATCAAAGAAATAAAGAAATGGTGGTATGATCTCTTTTCTACAAAATTAGATCTAATGAAAATTTATCCATTTCTTCACTGGTAGAATTCACAAAACCATACTTTTCCAAGTGCCCCAATAAACTTTTAAAAGTAAAGTGTGGGGCTGGGGATATAGCTCAGCTGGTAAAGCATAAGGTCCTGCGTTCAATTCCCAGCTCCACAAAAAAAAAAAAAAGGTAAAGTGTGTTTCCTAGAACCATCTCAAGAAGCAAAGTTAGTAACTCTTCAGCCTCATTAATAAGATGCATCCCAGCAACAAACTGCTAACACTTTATGATACTAAAAACCTCAGATTATGGAAAAAATGAACAATGCAAAAAAATTCAATTTAATCAAATTTTAAAACCTCAAATTATGAAAACTGAAACCTAAAAAAATGAAAATGAGCTAATCATCTCTTTTGTGCCTGGAATCTTTCATTCTACAGAAGGAACTGTTACAAAATTTATTGAATCAACAGCAGCATCCATAAAAATTTTATAATATAATTTAACAAACTGAAGGATACACCCCACGTTCATGAAGATGATTACTTGGGGAAGGTAAATTGAGTTCAGAAAGAAGGATAACTGTGGGTAAAGTGGAAGATGAGTACATCAGTATTTTTTGTACTATTCTCTACACAGTTCTGTATATTTTAAATCATTCTTCCTCACAACCCCAAAAAGCCTTTGTAAATAAGTCAAAAGATTTTACTTTACACATCTATTGTATAATAAATTAAATAAAAATGTGAATTCTGAAACCCAATGGGGAAAAATCTAAACCAAAATAATACATTTAAAAACAAAATATATTTAAGATTTCTATAGCACCTTTTAGATTTTCATAACTATAGGCTCTCCCTGCCTCATTAAAATCATTAGTGAAGACATAAAATATATTAACACCATTATCTATTTGAGAGAAAAGTGATCTACACAAATGTAGACCAATGTGCCCAGAATCTTTTATTAAGTTGAATGTACATTAACTTCTTGTCTCAAGGTACAATGAGCACATGATACTTCCCTGAATATAAATGTAGCCACTGCAGTATTGAGATGAGTGGATCTGAGAGATTTTTGTTTTTAGCAGGAAAACACTAGTTGTCTTTTGGGGATTTGGTTTTTTTCTGTGTTTTTGTTTTATACAGATTAGTTAAAACAAATTTTATTTTTAAAGTTCAGCTATTATGATATTCATGCTTGTGTTTTTCAATTAAAATTTCCATTAAAAGATCTTTAGTTATTTAAAAGCTATAAGATTTCTTTATACTTACTCTTTTGGTCAATACGAAGGTCATATAGAGGTGTCCTATATATATCCACACTGGAAAGTGCACATCGAGAGAGGGGCACATGATGAGAAGGCCCAAGGATGAAAATTCTCCGGCTAGCAGATATGCAACAAAGAACATAGAACAATTGTACTTCTATACAAACCTTACCTAATACATTATTACCTAAGGGGGAAAAAATAAGTAATTCTAAATAATTACTTTTTTCCCTTTTTGACTACTTTCATTGCCAACTGTTAATGTAAAAAGCTAAACTATGTAATTCACATGTTGAAGTCCCAACTCCCAATACTGACTACAACTGGATTTGGACTAAGATCTTTAAAGAGCTAATTAAAAATGAGGGCATGAGGATAGGAGCCTAATCAATATGACTGCTATCCCTACATAACTGAGAGGAGAGACTAACATTAGAGTCCTATCTGAAGAGGCACCAAGACACAGCCATCTACAGGCCAAAGAGAAAAAAAGATTCAGAGAAAACAACCCTACCAGCAGCTTCATATTGAACTTCCAACTTCCAGAATTGTTTAAAAAAATTAAGTAATAAATTTCTGTTGTTTAAGTTACATGAGCCCTAGGAAACTAATAATTCTCAGTTATTAATTTCAATTCCTTGTCCCTATTTTTATGTTAGAAGGCTTTTAAAAGATCATGTCCAATACTCGGAAAAACTAAGTATCAATCTTTACAGTAAAACAACCTATTATGCATAAAATCATCTCGGTATTTTAACAGCTAGAAGATTTCCAATAGCTATATTTTATTAACTGAATTTTAAACATTTCAGTTATCAAAAGTCTCAAAAGTCTAACACTTCCTAAGATCTACCAAAATTTTAATTAAAATGATATAAAATTCTAACCCATAAAAAACAACATTAACAATGAGGCATTATGGTAAAACTATTTCTACATTTCTTTCTTGGCAAAGAAAAAAAAGGCATCTTGTTGAGAATTCCATGTAATAAGCTTTCTCTATTCTCATTTAAGTAGAAGTCCTTCTCAAAAACAAAGAAACTTAGTTATGATGTTATTTGCACTACAATCCTACCTAAAGAAAAGCAAAGGGCTAAGCTGTAGCTTAAATCTTTATAATCCCTTTACCTGACACCAAGAATAAAATTAACTTCCTCTCATTTTATCTCAAACATCCAAACCAGCCCTACAGTCTAAAGTCCAAAACTATCCATTTTTTCTATTCTCTAAGATTCATATAAACCAATCTTCCCCCGTTACACACAGACAAAAAAACAAATTAGACTCAAAACAGTAAAACTATGAGAAGGAAGCATTAGATGAGAGCCTATATACCTAGAAAATTAAGTACTACTCATTGCTTAACAGAAAAAGACTAAGAAATGTGTCTTAGTCTTATGACCATGAATGTTGTGTTTTAACACTGTATTTATTTTGATAAAATTGAATTACTAAGCTAAAGAATATTAACCCATTGTTTGCTATGTTATTTCATATCCTGGGAAGGGAAGAAGAAAATAAGAAAGTTGTGGGCAGGTGATTCTCAGTTTGGAGTCCCCAAACCTCAAGAGGTCATATAGCAAACATAAAGATTTCATGCTCAAGCCATTTGTGATCAGAGACTATGTCTCTCCCTTCTGTCTATTATTAGCATTGTAATCCTTACTTCTTGTCATCACCTCTATCATCAAACCAATAAACATTTCAGGGGAAAAAAGTCAAGATTCCTAAATGAACAAAATCAAGAAATACCATTCTGTTCTCATATGTTAACAACACACAAATGTTATGAATTTTTTAAAATTAAAGCCTAGGGCTGGGGAGGTGGCTCAAGCGGTAGTGTGCTCGCCTGGCATGCGCGCGGCGCTGGGTTCGATCCTCAGCACCACAAATAAAATAAAGATGTTGTGTCAGCCGAAAACTGGAAAATAAATATTAAAAAATTCTCTCTCTCTCTCTCTCTCTCTCTCTTAAAAAAAAAGTTAAAACCTAATGTGGATCATATATAATGGTAACTCAGGAATGTTTAGTTCACTTGATTAATGCCAAGTATTACATGAACCAAAAATCAATAAGGTAGGGCCAGGCTCAGAGGCGCACACCCACTGTATTCCCAGCTACTCAGGGAAGCCGAAAAGTGGGAGAAACACTTGAGCCCAGGAGTTCCATTCCAGCCTGGGCAACATAGGGAAACCCGGAATGGGAGAAAAGAGAAGACTCAAGTATGAAAAGGGGCATATTTTTCTGACTGAGGAATGAATTTTATGATAAGACAAAAGAGATATAATATTTATATTCAGAACACTCCTAGAAAATCTAGGATATAGAGTTAAAATATGAAATTATATTTTTATTAAGTATTGATCTAAACTTAAAGCCATATAGATAAATTTCATAATTACAAAGGATCCTCAAGGCTAGTAGATAAGTACTGCTCCAGAAATACACACCAGAGGTATGCTGGAACCTAATCAGCTCCTCTGATAATGATTACTTGCCTTGCTTACCTTTCTGTCAAACCCAGTTCACACGAAGGCTAAAGAGACCCTACTAATCTGAATAAACCACTGTTTTACCAACAGATTCTTTGTAATTTGGTAGAAACTCACCCGAAAATCAACATACTTAAGCTCTACTCTTGATATAATGAGGTAACAAGAAAAAAAAAAAAAGGTTTTAAGTCCCAGCAATATAAAAGCCTTAAAAGTGACATATGCAAAAATAAAATTAGACTTCATGAAAAAGAAGCAAAAAAGGCAGATTAAGCCAGTAGTAATCTCACAACAGATCTCTTTGGTTAGCTAAATGATAACAAAAGAAAATCAACAGTGTATATGAGCCAGGTATGGTGATGCACACCTGTAATCCTAGCAGCCTGGGAAGCTAGAGACAGGACAATCACAAGTTCAAAGCCAGCCTCAGCAATTTAGCGACATCCCAAACAACTTAGCAAGACCCTGTCTCAAAATAAAAAATTTAAAAAGAGCTGGAGATTTGGCTTAATGGTTAGCACCTCTGGGTTCAATCCCTGGTACCAAAAAAAGAGTATACATTAAAGTTCATGCATTTATTTTTTGTTGTTGTTGTTTGCTAAATTGCTAGATCCATAAACACAAACACTAAGGCCACAGGAATATTCTGGAGAGAAACAAATGAGTAATACAAGCACTTGAAATATTACCATTTTCCTTCTTTTTAATTAAATGCACTTTGTCTTTAAGGGAATAATAGCTTTTTCATATTAGCAAATCATGACTGTTACTATACAGGGAAAAGAAACTTTTTAAATGAAATAATAGGGGAAGGGGTATCACAGGCATTCTCCCAGAAATAAACGTAGTTCACATATGACAGCTCCAGAGAATTTATATATGGAGTGAGTTTCTATGATAAGTTAAGTGTGTGTGCCTGATACAAGCTGAATGTCTGACCTCATGAATATTTTTTCAACTACTTATTACAACAATTAGAATATATGTAATTTTTTTAAATGTATTTCATAGGAAGTTGAGATATTTTAAAGAATAAAATGTCATATGGCCTCAAAAAAGATTCCTTTTTCTCTCCTTTTTTGCTGGTTTTCCTGCAAATGAATATGAATATGAATTAAAATCCAGTTTCTTCCTAAGTACATTCCAAATTCTGGGTTCTTAGAGTTTAAGTAATAGGAAAAGATTCTGCACTATCAATATGGAAAATAAATTCATTAAATGTTCCTCTTTTTAAAATGTTGCAGTACTGGGGATTAAGCTCAGAGAAACTTTACCACTAAGCCACAGCCCTTCTTATTTTTTATTTTGAGACGAGGTCTCACTAGGTTGCTCAGTCTGGCCTTTCACCTTCAATCCTCCTGCCTTGGCCTCCTGAGACTCTGGGATTATAGGTATGGGACAACATGCTCAGCTAATGTTCCATTTTCAAATTCCTTAAACAGCCAAAGTGTCTTTTTGAAACAGAGATCATTTCATTTCCCTTATAGGATAAAAACTTAAAATCCTCAAAATGGGACTTAAAGTCTCGAATGAACTTGAACCTTCTTATATTACTCTTAGCCCCTATGATTGTTAATGCTATAGTTCCTTGATGACACGTAACTTTGCCTACTGCAAAGTTTTTACAAGTCATCATTCCCTTTTCTTGGCTGGATGGCTTAAAAATGAGTTCTGCAGAGATGTCTTCCCCAATACCTTTCCCACAATTTAAATCAAATCACTCACTTAAAGTCCATTATAGCAGTTTTCAAAGTGTGAACTGTGAATTATTGATATTCCCCAAGGACCTCTGAAGTAGTAGTACACAAAACTAAAACAATTTTCATAATAATACAAGGAAGATATCTGCTTTTTCCATTGTGTTGGCATTTGCCCTTATGGTACAAAAATGAGAATGCATATTTTTAAAAATGAAGATAGATAAAGCTGCATATTAGGAAGTTGGTCAGGATAATCAAATCTATGTATTAGAAGTCTTGTTTTTCACCTTTACTTCACACTAACTTTTTAAAATATTTTTTAGTTGTACATGGACACAATACCTTTATTTATTTATTTTTATGTGGTGCTGAGGATCAAAACCCAGGGCCTCACAGATGCGAGTCAAGTGCTCTACCACTGAGCCACAACCTCAGCCCCACTACCCATTAATTTTTTAAAGTCAGTTTCACTTAATTTCATTAAAAATCTTGAGCCTTAAAAACCCATTTTAAGGGCTGGGGTTGTGGCTCAGCAGTAGAGTGCTCGCCTCGCATGAGTGCGGCCCTGGGTTCGATCCTCAGCACCACATAAAAATAAATAAATAAAATAAAGGTATTGTGTCCATGTACAACTAAAATATAAATTTAAAAAAATCTTAATACTCTACATAATACAATGCATTCAATTTTTGGTGGGAAATGCATAAAGCATTTCAGCTACATATGTAAATAAATCTCAGGGAAAACATGTGTGTGAAAATGACCTGTGAACTAAACTAGATTTTTTTTTTCCCAAAAAAATCTTTACTTAAAAAAACTTATTGTACAGTTGGGCATGGTGGTACATTCCTATAATCAAAAGAGTCCAACTATGACCATCAGTTATTAATTTTACACTTAGATCTGAGATTTTAATGATCCAGAATTCCATTATTATACGCTAATTACATTAATTTGATCACACCCTTTATCTTCTTCTTTGTTCTTTGCTCTCTTCCCTCTATCCTCCTTCCTTTTCCTTCCATTCTAATTTTCCACCAATTTACTTAATTCATGCTTTCCATTTCTACCAACATAGACTCTATACTTCTCAACATGTTCCTAAAGCAAATCCGATAATGAGGGATCTCTCTAGCACAAGATATCAGCAATAAAAATTCTGCCAAATACAGAAATGTTTGGGGAAAGGCTGTTATTTAAATTAACCTTGGTTATATCTGGCTTATAGTCCCAGATCAAATTACAGAATCCTCTAAAAATCTTCTCAATTTAATTTCTATTTGTTCTCATTCATGAATAAATTAGTTCAGATTGTATGTATTAAACATGTATCAAGTAATATTTGTTAAAGATATTCCTCAAAAACATAAATGAAGCAAGCAAGACTAAGCAAAAGTTCATGTGGAAATATTTACTAATAAAAATTTGTAAATTTATTTTCAACAAATTTAAGAAAAATGCAAAGCCCTTAGTTCAATTTGAATCATCTTTGTAAATTGTTATAGTTTTAAAATTGTTACTGAATGACTTATTTTTATTGACAGGAGAAGGTACTTGAAATATTTTAGAATCTGACAGTGAATTTCTATGGTATTTGAAGTATAATAACTCTTGAGGATTCAACAAGGGCTTTTTAAAATTTTTTATTTAAATAAAAAAATGGCAGAGTACACCACATAAAAATTTAAAAGAGCAGTGTTTTTGAAAATTTGAACAAATTGCTCGAAAGCAAAGGAGCATGCTATAGGTGATCACTGCAAACTCAAAAGCTGGTATGCATGTCGTCTTTCAGTGACTATGCTCTATCTCTAGTGTCACAGGCTTGCCTAAAGATCAACATTTGACAGAATTAAAATGATCATTTTTATCTGTTAACATAAAACTAGCTGGTACATCTCACATTACAGACTGGAGCCTCATACTGGGCCATGGAGTAAGTTAACTACTTAAATAAAATACTAGTCAGTAAATTAAGAAATTTGAGTGCAATCTAGAGTAGAAACTTTTGGAAGTTCAAAAGCATCCTTTTTTTTCTTAATATTTTTAAATTGTAGATGGACACAATACCTTTGTGTTATTTATTTTTATGTAATGCTGAGGATCGAACCCAAGCCTCACATGTGCTAGGCAAGCACTACTGAGCCACAAGCCCAGCCCCACAAGCTTCTGATTTTAAACAAATATACTACTTAATCTCAACTTCCCAGAAACTATTTCTTTTATTTGTTCTTTTTATTTTTTTATTTTTTTTTAAAGAGAGAGAGAGAGGAGAGAGAGAGAGAGAGTATTTCTTTTTAATATTTATTTTTTAATTATCGGCGGACACAACATCTTTGTATCTTTGTTTGTACGTGGTGCTGAGGATCGAACCCGGGCCGCACGGATGCCAGGCGAGCGCGCTACCACTTGAGCCACATCCCCAGCCCCTATTTGTTCTTTTTAGATACACATGACAGCAGAGTGTATTTTGACATATGATACATACATGGAGTATAACGTATTGTAATTAGGCCCAAAAAGTTTGGTAAAAAGCTAATTACAGCCAAACACAGTAGTAAATACCTGTAATCCCAGCTATTTGAGAGGCTAAGGCAGCAGGATCACAAGTTCAAGGCCAGTCTAGGCATATTAGTGAGATTTGGTCTCAAAATAAAAAATAAAAAAGGAAGGGGAATGGTTGGAGATATGGCTCAATGGTAAAGTGATTATCTAGCATGCATGAGGCCTGGGTTCAATCCCCAACAACCAATAAAAAGGGAGTGGGGGTTGTGGTTGTGGCTCAGAGGTACAGCACTCGCCTACCAAGAGTGAAGCACTGGGTTCGAGCCTCAGCACCACCTAAAAATAAGATATTGTGTCTACCTATAACTAAAAATAAATAAATATTTTTTAAAGGGGGGGGGAAGGGTCCTGGGAATGGTAAAGCACTCTTGGGTTCAATCCCTAGTATAGGATGAGTAGGAACCTAATTTGAAAGCCCTTGTTGAATCATCAAGAGTTATTATACTTCAAATACCATAGAAATTCACTGTGAGATTCTAAAATATATCAAGTACCTTCTCCTATCAATAAAAAATGAGTCATTCAGTAACAATTTTAAAACTGTAACAATTTACAAAGATGATTCAAATTGAACTAAGGGCTTTGCATTTTTTTTTAAATGTTTACCTCCAGATTTTCAAAGAAAAATAACCAAAATATTAGCCACCATGCATGCCTGTATTCCTAGCAGCTCAGGAAGCTGAAGCAGGAGGATCGTGAATTCAAAGCCAGCTTCAGCAACTAAGCGAGACCCTATCTCTAAATAAGATATTTTTAAAAGGCCTGGGAATGTGGCAGTGGTTAAGTGGCTCTGGGTTCAATCCCCAGTCCCAAAAATAAGAGAAAGAGAGAGAAAAGAACCAAAATACTTAATTTTCTAATAGTTTCATAATAAAACATTTTACCAACCAAAGACAAATGTTTAGAGAAAGAAAAAGAGTACTAAAGAGTATTAAAGATTTCCTAATCTATGTAAGATATAATAATATTCATAAAAAGTCAAATTTCTAATTGAGAGGATAACAATAAGGAAGATGAAAAACAAATGGTTTCTAAGACACAACAATTATTATATAATTCCCAAAATTCACCCACTTAAAACTACATTACTTACGTAATAGATGGATCCACTTGTTTGTAAGCATGGGCAGCACAAGATCCACAGTACGTATATCCTGCATGGCTACAAAATAAAATGATTGCTTAAATTTAATGATCAGGTTCATAATCAAGATATTCTGAAAGAAAAACTTTACAAAGAAATGTAATAACTAAACATAAAAGAATTAAGTGCATAGATTAAAGAGCAATGTAGTTAACAATGCAACCTCTAGAAGATAATAGAACACATATCTGGTCTACACTGTATAGCAATTTTAAAGTTTAAATATATTCTTTAAATTTTTTGGCCTAAAGGACAATTAAATTTATAGACATTCAAGGCTTACTTAAAATTGCTAATTTAACACTATTAACATATGAGTTTTTTATATTCCTCTACAGCAACATTGGCAGACTATTACAAAACAATGGTAAGACCCAAGGATAAATTAAACCAAACCAAAACAAATACCTGCAACTACCATAATTCTCTCTGTTTTTAACGATAAGGAATTGACTTGACCCTATATGTATTAGGTCTCTCATTTTCTTTCAATACTACTCTTCCCTTTCACCTGGTTTCAACATTTAACCAGTTCTCCTATCACCAACAGAATGACTTTTCCCTGACCTCATTTTTCTTTCTTGACTCATTCTGGGTATGTAAGTCTACAGTCACTTTCCTTAGTGCTTACTTCCTAGTATGTTGCCAGTGATATGTTGGTAAATGTTTTAAAAACTGGCTCTACAGGAAAAATACTGCATACATACTCATTTATTATAAAATTTTACTGTGTGTGCATGTGTGTGTGTGTGTGTTTTTTTCCACCTGGCTCTTCTCTCTGGTCTATCTCAAACCCCAAGGGCATCTCAGATTTTGGTCTATCTCAAACCTCAAGGACATCTCATCATTTCAACACTGCTTTGCTTTCTGTTACCACTCATTCCATCTACTATGGTTTAGATCTTGAGTATCCTCCAAAGGTTCATGCTTTAAGAGGCTTGGTTCCCAACTTGATGCTACTGTTAGGCAATAGAAACTTTGGAGGGTGGGACCTAGTAGGAGGGTGGGACCTAGTAGGAGGTCTTCAAATCAATAGGGATATGCCCTCAAAAGGGGTCACGGAATCCTGGTCTCTTCTTTCTCTCTTTTGCTTCCCAGCCATGAAGTGAGCAGTTTTGGTCTGCTACATGTTCCCACAGTATAATTCCTCATCAAAGACCTAAAAGCAACAACACCAATTAATCATGAACTGAAATCTCTAAAACTGTGACCCAAAATGAACCTTTTGTTTTCATAATTGATTATACCAGTTATTTGCTAGTGTTAACAGAAAGTTGACTAACACACCAACCTCCATTTCATAAACCACCTTACAGAAGTTAGTTCCTACTTGTCACTCTTAACTCTTAAATTTAAGGACCAACCTTAACTTTAACCTTAACTTTCTAGTACGAGTTTCTTTCAGTATTGCATCTTATTCCTTAACCATCCAGAAAGGCTTCTTAGAAACAGTGAATTCTTGAAGTATAGAAAGGATAAAAACAGTAGAAGGGTAAGAACATGAAGGAAGAGCATACAAGCTGAAAGAAGAACATAAGCAAATGTCCACATGCATGATATAGATGAGAAAACACAAGACTGGCCCGAATAATGCTAAGCTGGAATCAAGCAGAGGAACATGGCCTTGATAAAACAAAATACTGGGGGAAAAAAAAAAATACTGTGCACTCTTGAGTAGAAAAGTGACAAAGTGAAATTATTACTAGTCTACTACTGAAAAGCATTTGCACAAAAGATAGATTAAAAGCAAGAGGTGTTTAAAAAAAACACTTACACACACATACACAAAACCTCCTTTGGAAATTGTGGCAATGATATATATAGCAAAGCGTGAAGTACCAATGCCATGCCAGTGGGAAATGAGAAATGAATGCTCCATAGTTTAAAAAATAAAAGAAAAACATCTTAGTGACCAAGTATGGGGGAAGATGATGAAAAAGAGGACGATTATGACAATAATAGCAATAATATTTACTAAATGCTATTAGTAAGGTACTAAGGTACTATTATTCAGGTACTTTTATGTACTTCAAAGTATTAAGTCATTGAAATCCTCATATCAATACTCATGAGATAGAAATTATCATTTTTCTCATTTACAGATAAAGAAATTAAAAGCAGGGAGATTAAGAAACTTACTGAAAAACACATGGTATATTTCCAAGCCAGGATTTAAGATCAAACAGTAGTGTTCTAGAACCCATGCTTTTCACTACCATAAGAGACCATTACATGTTTGAAGGAAAAGGGGAAGGGACCTACCGAGAAGGAAAAGCAATAAGCCTGAAAACTGAAAGAAAATTAACAGAATCATATACTCTCTAAGACTGCAGAAAAGGACAAAAGTTTTAAAACACAATTAACTGTGTTAAATAATGTTTTATAATGGAAGTCACATATCATAGTTTCAGTCCTTTCTGAAGTTGAAGGCTTAGAAGTCTTACGAAAGTAAAGAGAAAATAGTTGCAGGGAGAGAAGAAGCAACTTGAACTGGTCTTACATGGACAGAAAAATACACTGCACAGTGCTATTTTAAAATCAATCATTGAGTCTGCCATCCCTCTTACGCTCCCACCATGAAGAACTCAACTACATGAAAGGAGGATCACAATCAAGAGATTCCTAATACTTTTTTTTTTTAAAGAGAGAAGAGAGAGAGAGAATTTTTTAATATTTATTTTTCAGTTTTCGGTGGACACAACATCTTTATTTATTTTTATGTGGTGCTGAGGATTGAACCCAGTGCCCCGTGCATGCCAGGTGAGCGCGTTACCGCTTGAGCCACATCCCCTCTAATACTTTCTTTTTATCCTGGCCCAGATACATGGTAATGAAGAAAGCCAGAGTACTAACCATAGAATCTCACTACCACTACTTCCATACTAACCACAGAATCTTCAGTACTACTACTACTTCTGCTACCTTCAGTACTACTACTTTAGTACTGCTACTAGTTCTGCTACCTATCTATCGATGATAGATAGAATCTATCATTCTACATATATATGGAAACAAAAGTTAACCAACAAAGATCACTTATAGTAAAGGACACTTTGCTAAAGAAATAGGTAAAGTTTTTTCTTTTATGCACTATAGCCAGAAGAACCATAAAAATCTGACCACTAAAGAATATTCAAATATGCATATAAAGTATATCCTACTGAGTTTTTTGAAAACTTTTAAAGCCCTAATACAAAGTCCATATGTTGGTTCTTCCATGTCACTCTAGTTCCCTAACAACTTCTCCTGAAGGCAAATGTGAAATTACACTTTAATACCTATGATTTTTAACTATGCTAAATCATGCCTCTGAAAAACTGATCTACTTTTAATAAGGAGTGAGTCTGCTTCTCCCTTTACTCCTACACAGCAAAGCCTTTACAGCAGGCAGGTCCAGCTACTGACCTACGAGAATTTCCATTTCTCCCACATAGCTACAGTTGAATGTAGAAGCAGTGCCATGAGGCCATCGTCCACTGTGAAGAGCAGGATGTACTCTGCTAAGTCACTTCATGCCATCTTGTAAAACAGTACTTTTGCCATAAGCTACACCATCTTAAGTTTAAGTGCTGAGGTGGAATGACTATTAAAAAAAAAAAAAAAAAATTCATCACCTTCCTAGCACAACCATAAGGTATAAACAGATAAATACATTAATCATGCTAATAAAAATGACCACCCATGAACTTATCAAATTAATCATAAGCACATGGATGCATGGACATGTCATTTCTATCAGAAAAACCAGGCCTATGAGCTTACAGAACATGCCAGACCACCAAATAATGCAACCCCCTCAACTTTAGACCCATAAAAGTAGGGGCATGCCCAGACTGGACACAATAGCATCCTGACCCCATCACCTAGTCACTCATGACCATTCTTGCCCAGGAAAACCGCCACAATGACAAGCCTCCTAATCTCTGTCCTCAGGTTTTAGCAGAGTATGGTTTCTCCTGCCTATGATGATCATACAAGTCCTATTCCAAGATGACATCTCAAGTGGTTACTCCAAGTATCCACTATGAAACTGCCAAATGCCTACACCTTAACCTAGAATAAGTTCTTGTACTTTGACAGCACTGTGTCATTAATAAGTTCTTCCAATTGGTTGGCTGGTAGGTTCATAGTCTTATCTGACCACCTAAAGTGACTCCTTGCATTTTTATCTGCTTTCTGCCTTTGCCCTCAGTTCAGCCTTCTAAATTCATGTAGCTGCCTTAAATCTTTCTTAGCCTTCCTGCAACCTATATATATATATATATATATATATATATATACACACACACACACACACACACACACACATAAATATAAATGTGCAATTATAAAATTGTGTAAAGTCTAATGTGTGATTTGAGTAGTATAGATATTAGAAATTAAGACTGGAGCTAGGTGTGGTGGTGTACACCTGTAATCCCAGCAATTTGAGAGGCTGAAGCAGGACAGTCTCAGCAACTTAGTGAGACCTTGTCTCCAAAGAAAAAATTTTAAAAAGGAATGGAAATGTAGCTCAGTAGTAAAGCACCCCTCAAGTTCAAGCAAGAACCTGTGATTGCCTGGCCTATGATTACCAACTAACCCACAAATATTCAGTGAATTGCCATAAATGAAAATGATATAACCTGTAAATGTATTGTTATTCAACAAATTCTGACATTGTGGAAAGACACAATGTGTTGTTCTATGTCAATGACACAGCACGTTCATGACATCCATGATCATTCACTGGTTTAGTGATGGTTTCCCAAACAGCAATCTAGACATGTACAGATCATTTAAAATCCTTCCTCAGGAAAACTACCAAATACTACATGACATAGACTTTAACTTGTTTGCTCTTAGTCATTTACGTTCCTAAGTGAATAATATAAACTGATAATACCAAAACTCTCCCACACATTCTATGTATACCTTTTATCAAAAAGCGTATAAGAGGTTAGGGATATAGATCAGTAGAAAATTTGTCTAGCTTATATGAAAACCTAGGATTATTCCCCAGCACTATAAAAGAAAAA